AGAACCATGGTAATCTAATTTATATGATTAGTTTGATGGCAAAGTTGAATGTTGAGATAAATAATGTTGTCTTAAAGAAAGCTCCAGGAAATGCAAAGTATACGTCTCCTATGATCCAAAAAGATATTTTGCATATTCTAGCTACTAAAGTAAGAGAAAAAATCCGTGAAGAAGTTGAAAATGTCAAGTTTTGTATTTTGGTTGATGAAGCAAAGGATGCATCAAATAAAGAACATATGACAATTGTTCTGAGATTTGTCGATGTTCAGGGTTTTTTGCAGGAGATATTTTTTGAGATTGTGCATGTTAAAGATACCACTTTTTTAACTCTTAAGAAGAAAATATCAATAACCCACCACCGAACCTCAACCACAACCAATAATCCAGAATTCAAAAGTCAAAATAGGGCCAAAAAAAATAATACACTGAAATAACCCAGAGTAGCCCCGATCACCGTTCAAGGCCAGAACAATAACCGAATACCAAAAACTCACCTAAATCAAGTTGAAACTAACAACAAACCTCTAGGCATTAGAAATCCCACTTCTTGGAATTTAACCTCACCTATCTGGTGTATATTGAAACTTCCCCAAAAGAAATCACCACTAGAATAGTGATCCGGCAACCAAAAAAAACATTGGTCATTGTACATTGGGTAGGGGTGCTGTTAACGAGGACTGTTCACTCGCGAACCTGTTCATCGGGTATTGTTCATCAGGGACACTGTTCGCACACAAACACTATTCATTTATGTCCAAAAAAAACCTAGAATTGATGCTTTGATACCAAGGTAATAAGTAAAAGCTACAGTATTATGTTAGGAGAAAAAAAAAAAAAGATAAAGAGAGAGGAAAGAATAATATGTGTGTAAGCTATGTTGCCCTACACTCTTATTTATACTAAATTGATATTATGAGAATTACAATATGATCATTTACTACTCAAAATATAAAATAAGAACTCTAACACAATCAAATCCCCAAAGCATGTAAAATGTTCACAAAATGCTGGTTGAGAAAATTTAAAACAAGAGTATGTAAACCACTAAATGTATCTAAAATGGAAGTGGGAGGGAGCGAACAAAAATAATGAGTAAACGAAACCTGACTATTAGGACCACCACGTGGAAAATTTTGCCAGAAATGGGGCACAGATGCTTATACATTTACAAGACTGCCATAATTTCAAGAAAATCAAAAAGTTGTCCCCCAATGTAGAAAGTAGAAAAAGCATTTGAGAGGTTTCTATAGCCAAATCTTTTTTTGAATCCACCTGATAAGGGGTGCTAACTTCATTTCAACTAAACAACAGGCTATATAGAATGTGTAAAATAGCCAAACAAAAAGTGGGGAAATGCATTTAAATTGATAAGAGTGACAACAAAATCGTTTCTATCAGCAAGCTCCCTCTTGCAGTCCAGTTCCTGTACGACTCTTGATTCTAAAGCATGTTGGGATTAGGCAGCAGTTTACAGAGGTGCTCAAAAGCTTGACCACGCTGCTTAACTAATAGAATGTTAGTTTTTTTTTTGNTTCGAAAAAAAAAAGATGAGCTTTCCTTCACCAGGTCAGATGTATCGCTTAATGAGAATGAGCAGACTAACTTAGACCTTAAGGGAGCAACAGCATCTAAGAAGTAACAACAGCCAGTGCAACAAATGATGAAAAGAAGACATAATGAACATGCAACTCGTCCATCGGAACTATCTTTCATTCATATTGTGAAAAAAAAACAGTTTATCAGCTATCGAAAGGGAAAACCATTTTGCACTGAGTTGTAGTTTATAATCAACAAACCTCAAGATTATAAGCCGATGAAGTAACATTCATAATAAATTTATCCATTCAAGTTTGATTTAAATAATATCTTCCACTTAGATAATTTACTGATGAGCAATAACACAGTATTAAAATGAATTTAGATACAGTTTTAAGAGGATTTTTATCCTTTAACCCATAGTCCATTGTGCCTTAGCCTTGCCATGCACACATCAACAAAAAATAGTGCTACAACTTTTCATGCAATCAAGCACTTAATCTGTACTACTAATAAAAGACAACTAAGTGAAAAACTTTCAATTGACTATTACGTCCTTAAGAAAAATATTAAAGACACCTATATTCTTATGTACTTAAATATCTAATATCAATACTTATATTTATACTTACCTCCTTGTTAACCTTTAGACTTCCTACTTTAGTTGATTTGCAGCACAATAAATTCTGTACATCACTGACTAATTGAAAGACTAAAAGTCAAATAGTTAATACATTATTTATCAGGCTTTTCAATGCAGGTGTTGGTTCCCTCTTCAAATGCTCTTTAATGTCGTTTATAATATTGGAAGTACAGATTTTTAAATTTTTAAAAGCTTACTTAGTTAATAACGATTGGTCTACCTAATTTGCATTTCATATATAACCAATTCAAAGAAACAGATATACATATATATCATCTCCTATATAATACAAAACGTACTTACATATCACCTTCTCTCTCGCTCTTTTAGCTTCTCGCTCATTCTTTGTTTTGAAAATTGTAATTTTTGGGGGTGAATGATGTAATCCATTCTGTTGTAGAAATGGGTTTCACATACGGCAAAAGATCATGACAAACTTCAATAGGTAGGGTAGGCAATATTTTTTTATGTGTAATCATTTTTTATGTGAATCAACCTTGGCGGATAAACTAATGGATGAAAACTGAATCAACGCCACCAAAGCACTCTTCACTAAATTGCCTTCAACTAGTTCTAATATTTCCTTGCATTTAACCGATTCTCATTATGCGAGACTGTCTAGTTGTTCCTCAAATGACACTGGAACAAGCCTGGATGCATTCTCTGGGAACACATACAAGTCCTTTTTCAAAATGACAAAGATAGACCGGTTTAGTGAAATGGGTCACCAAAGCATCACCATACAAGGACTTCGGGTGAGACACTAAGGGTTTGCTGGAGAAAATTCAAGTCCAAAGTAGGTTTTTCATTGCTTAAATCACCAAACGATACGCCCAACATCAAGCTAGCTAGATCTCATGAGGGTTTGTATCACTTTCTATAATGCATAAGACAGCTAAAAATCAAATTTCATGCTTCATGTTAAAATAAATTTTGATGTGCTTGTAAACATCTTCAAATTGTAATATTTATTCTAAAAGCTTATGCTAATCTAAAATGACTTTGATCAATAAGTGGTATAATGACATCAGAGTTTGTCGTTTTCTTACTTTGGTCCAACATCATAAACATTACACTTGGGAGGTATTTAACACTGGTACATATACTTTACTTATGCTTTAATTTGTGTCCCTAGTGCACAATTGCAGTTTCTCTTGAATGATAAGCAAATGTCCTTTTTTGTCTTTTGTAAAGTATGAATATAAGTAAAAAATATAAGAAAAAAGGTCAATAACATAATATTCCCCCCGGTATTTGAACTGTAGCATGCGAAAGGCTTTTGTGTGTAAGAATATATATAGCTTGTTATGCTAGGTAAAAATTTATGACTTCCAACAATTTTTGAAAACTAAGATATTGCCTGGTGTTACATATCGATATATTTTNCTGTAGCATGCGAAAGGCTTTTGTGTGTAAGAATATATATAGCTTGTTATGCTAGGTAAAAATTTATGGCTTCCAACAATTTTTGAAAACTAAGATATTGCCTGGTGTTACATATCGATATATTTTCCCAAAGGGCCAACAAATTTCACTTGTGGCATGATGGAACCAATACTTAGCAGGTTCTCATAATAAAAATTTACAATCGAAAATCCATGAAACTACCATTCTTACTAAATTTGGCATTCTGGAATTTTTTTTTATAATATATGCCCTTTTTAACTTGGAAAAAAAATGGGTAAATTACAATGCCAAAAAATTGCTCCAATTTAAGGGTGCTTCTTTTTTAGTTGATTAAAGTTCATTTGGTATTAGGGTTTATTGTTCTTATTGATAGAAGTTTGCATTGCAAAATCATTAATGTAACTCCACAATTGCTCTCTCTATTAATGCTCGCAGACGGACTCAAATATATACACGTGTGTACCAACATATCTTCCTTATGATGTTTCATATCATAGTTGTGGACCGTTGAAAAGATGACGAATAATTTTTTATTTATTCACAAAAATTATGTTAAAACAGTTGGTGTGCAACACATGTGTAGCGGAGTTATAAGCCACAAAGTTTTCAAAATCGAAATCCTACCTTAGATTGATGGGAGAGGCAAAAATATCAGGATTGTAGGATCGGATCGAAAATCATAAGATCCTACAAACTGAAAAATGAGACCAAAAAATATAGAGCAATACAAAATTTTGAAAAACAAGAATTAATATAAATTGTAGAAATTTGAGAAAATACAATCTAAGCATTAAAAAGTGTTGAAAATGTTAATCTTGCGGGATTTGCAAGTAATAGGAGCATTGAAGTACTTCAGTTTTTACTTTCAAAAAGAAACAAATATAGGCGAGAGACTGAAAATTTGAAAGACTATTGACTAAACAACTTTGATTGTTCGACATCTAGAAAAAAAATATATAAGAGAATGCAAATGAAAGACTATCTAGCTATTATTACTTGCCAATAGAGTAGATCAAACCCAACTATTGTTTTCAACTTTTAAGTTAGAGAGACGAACAAATGGAGAGAGCTTTCTGTAATGAAGAAAACTTTTTGTAGCTTTTTTTTATCCACTAAAATTCTTCGATAGACAACCAATTGTAAGAGATAATTACATTTGGATTATGTTTTTAAGTATAAAAAAAAAAAAAAGCAAAATGTATTGGGTCAACTCAATAACTGAATACGCCAAACAAACAAACACAACCACTTGGGATCAATAAAATCGCAATTTGAATCGGAACCCTAGATCCTATATGATCTGGAGTATGATCTATTGAGATCTTATGCATTAGGGATTCTACGAAATATTTGAATCAATTTGTTGGTTGATGCAGGATTTTAATAACCATGATCAGACAACACCCAGATTCAGTCAAATCAGGTACCATCTTGCTGCAAATTTAAGCAAAAAAACATTTGATATCACTCCAAAAATATATAGCTCCTTCAAGCAGAAACTCAAGACAACAAATAAAGAACCATCTGCATAAAGATACAAACATAAACTGAAGCATTAAACCCGAATGTGCAGTATCACCTCTACCGCCATAGACTAGCAATCTTTTCTCAAGCATAGTCGCTGTATGGCCACATCTTGGTGGTGGCAATGATCCCGTAGCAGATAACTCCATCCACTCTAGGGAAACTGTTTGAAAAGAATACCACATAACAAACATTATCAAGAACCACGTTACATATAATATCATCTCAGTAAAAAAAAATGAATAAATAAATAAAACACTACAACAACCAGCAAGTGAAGACATTACTTGTGTCCAAGACATAGACATCTGATAACCACTTTTTACCATCCCAGCCACCATACCTGCATTTTATGAAGGCTTATTAAGACTTCAAGTTTAGCAAAACCCAAATCAACCAGCTGGGCTAACACCACAAGGTACAGTACTCACATGACTATTTTCCTGTTTCCTATAGCTGAAGCAGCAGCAAAATCTCGTGGTGAAGGCAAGTCACCAAAACTGGTGAGTTCTGACCATTGCCATATATCTGGAACAATTACAAGCTCAAATAATCGTCAGCAAAAAAAGCAAGGACGAAGTATGTCCACATTTATGGCATTTCTTGATCATCCACATTCATGTATCTAAAGCTGTAGACTTACGTAATACTAACCAGTATCAAGGACCCAAAAGTCCCCCAACCTGCAGATTAAGATTATTCATTAGTTGAAAGTAGCAAGCCTTCCTCACGATTAAACAAAGTCTATTTACCAGGAAAGAAATGGAGACTTGCAAAAAGGACAGACATTTAGTAGATATGCACAAACCTTTTGCTGCCAGATCTCCCACCAAAAATGAACATATGACAATCAATTGCAACAGCAATGTGAAAGGCTCGTGGGCTAGGCCCCACTTGCGCATCGGAACCACTGCCAGTGCACTCTGGCTGAAACCATATTTTGTTATCTAAAACATTTAAAAGGCAACAATTTAGAACCTGAAAACAACTTGTAAACCAATGCCAAAACTCATTTGAGAACTCACAACTTCTAAATCATGCTGACATTGATCACTCTCTCTACAGATACTGAAGCATTTCATCAAGTAATATAAAGTAAACTTTCATGTTAGAAAAAGTACGTTTGAGAAGCATGTAAGCACATCTCTGCATCAACATTCAACCACTAGAGCAACAACAGCCAATTTTTCCTGTGTGACGAAATAGAACCATTATATCAGCAGAGTCAATTCCAGTTTGTCTTGATGAGTATTGGTAGATTTGTATCTCTGTTTTCATCAAATCTAAATCTGGACTCCAAGTATTTGACTGGCTATGAAATTAAGGCCAGCACATGCTACAGTGCAACTAGTTTTGCGACTTCTATTCCCATCACAGTCCCACTTTTCGAAATGCAAATTTTCATATAGATATGCACCCCTTCAATGCTGAATTTGTGCAACTTGATCGGTTGATCCTAGTTCAGCCCAAAGAAAAGATAGATGCTACCATAATCCATTCAAGGCACTTACTTCACAATACATTTCATTTCCTAATATCAATAAGGCTGACTAAAGCCACACTGACCTAGCTGATACTTAATGCAGATATCCTTTCAGGCACCCTTTCTATGGAGGAATGAAAACTTCCACATCCTATCTGCTAAAAGAAATATGACTATATTCTAAGATTCTCAAAGGAAAAAGATGACCAAAATTTGTCTCTTCACACCCACAAAGGTAGCAAGCATAGTTTCCATGAAAATAAGAGCAGTAGCCCCTATGCCGGCCGGGCCAGGAAAGTCTAAAGATAAAATGTAAATTCTTTCTTGGGGACCATGAAACAAAACTCTATTCGAGTGGGTCTAACACATATGTTTGGCTTTGGAAGGAAAAAAAGTGATTTTATGTTTCTTTTCTTCCTGATAAATGAGTTTTTTTTTTCCCCAAGTCCGAAACGACATTAAACCTTAAATTGGAGAATCAAATTATTTTTTTAATTTTCCTCATATTTCTTCAACAAATAACGGCAGATTTCCTTTTCATACAATCTCCTTGTGCACAGAAAATCAAATGCACAAAGAAACATTACCAACCATCTTTATTTGCATGTAAGTCGGATGTGAACACTAAAGCTGAATTCTTTGCAACTGCAAATTTATATTACACAAGCTGGATTCTTCCCAAATTCACCCCGAATATACAATCACAATAAATACATTTCCATATAAATAAAACTATACAACAAAAGGTAACAACATATTCCAGGGGGTTACAACTGACATCTAATTATAAAATGACAGAGCATATACACCAAGTGTTTGCTTAAAAAGAACATATACGGTGACAATTAATATAAGAAATTCAAGCTTCCATGGCAAAGTTCACAAAATTTTCTACCAAAGTAGATATTAATCCCATGAGTTTGGTGGTGGTTTGAGCTAAAAAAAATTAAATAGACTAAATAGTTAAATAATAATTAACTGAAATAACCATTTAGAAATCGGTATTTACTAAGTCAAGAAATTGGGCCACACATGACCCGAACTCAATTTTTGAAAGTAGAAAAAACCATATGATTTCAATTTATTTGGACGTCCGAAAGCACCCTTAAACAAGAGAAATAGTACCAATATCATATACAGTGATGTCACTGAGAAATTTCTTGTCGACGAGTCCACCAAAAAGTATGATCTTCGATTTCCCGATATTCACAGCACTATGGCCACTGGAAAAAAAATATCTATCAGTCAGAATTGGAGAAATTTAAAAAAAAAAAAACATTTCTATCATCTAAAATCTAAAGAAATTCAACAAAAAAATCACATGTATTAATATATTGAGAGAGAAAGACAGGAAGGGGGGAAGCATTGCCTTCGAGGTTGAGGTAGAGTTCCACCAAAATCAGATGGGGAAGCTCGAACCCAGTAATGCATTTTCCTCTCTCTCTCTCTCTCTCTCTCTCTCTCACACACACACACAGAAAGGTCGAAGACAAGTGCACTGTGGAAGAAGTTGAGATCGCGGGATTGGACTGTTGGACCGACGTCGTATTTAGAAGTAAGTGGAAATGTTATCGAGGGAAAATGACAGTTTGAACTTCGAAAGATTAAAATTTCTAAATTTACCCTTAAAGATTAATTATTTTAAATTATACCCTCACTGGAACTAATTGGTAGCGATATGACCTCAGTCATAACATTCGTTCTGATTTTTGTCAAATTGACAGGCATAGAATGCACATAAATTTAGATTTTTTAATCTTTCAGGTATGATTTTAAGGGCAAATAAAAACTTTCACCATAAAAGAATTTTATATTTTGGGTTAATCTCAAATTGCATTCGAAAAGATCATTCAAATTTTAATTTGTACCTTCAAATATCAAAAATTTTAATTACACCCGCAAAAATAAAAATTTGTAACAAAACGCATCTCAAACTAACAGCCGTCAAAAATTAAATGGATAAATTACACCAAGACTGTCTTATGCTTGTCATTTAATCACCAACACTCCTTACATTTAAAATATTATACCTACNATTTTTTTAATTTTCCTCATATTTCTTCAACAAATAACGGCAGATTTCCTTTTCATACAATCTCCTTGTGCACAGAAAATCAAATGCACAAAGAAACATTACCAACCATCTTTATTTGCATGTAAGTCGGATGTGAACACTAAAGCTGAATTCTTTGCAACTGCAAATTTATATTACACAAGCTGGATTCTTCCCAAATTCACCCCGAATATACAATCACAATAAATACATTTCCATATAAATAAAACTATACAACAAAAGGTAACAACATATTCCAGGGGGTTACAACTGACATCTAATTATAAAATGACAGAGCATATACACCAAGTGTTTGCTTAAAAAGAACATATACGGTGACAATTAANCGAGTTATGTGTTACAAGTGCACAAACGTCAGGAGGTGTATGAGTAATTTTTTAAATGTGAGGAGGTCCAAATGATTAAGTGACAAGCATGAAGGGATCTAAGTATAATTTATCTATTTAGTTTTAGATGGCAAACTTGACAGCTATTAATTTCAAGTGTGCATTAATACAAATTTCTATCTTTAAAGGTGTAAATTGAGATTTTTTATTTTTGAAAGTGTAAATTAAATTTCAAATGATCTTTCAATGTGCAATTTGCAACTAACCCTTATATTTGTATTAGAAAATTTTAGTCACTCCCCTTNTTAAATAGACTAAATAGTTAAATAATAATTAACTGAAATAACCATTTAGAAATCGGTATTTACTAAGTCAAGAAATTGGGCCACACATGACCCGAACTCAATTTTTGAAAGTAGAAAAAACCATATGATTTCAATTTATTTGGACGTCCGAAAGCACCCTTAAACAAGAGAAATAGTACCAATATCATATACAGTGATGTCACTGAGAAATTTCTTGTCGACGAGTCCACCAAAAAGTATGATCTTCGATTTCCCGATATTCACAGCACTATGGCCACTGGAAAAAAAATATCTATCAGTCAGAATTGGAGAAATTTAAAAAAAAAAAACATTTCTATCATCTAAAATCTAAAGAAATTCAACAAAAATATCACATGTATTAATATATTGAGAGAGAAAGACAGGAAGGGGGGAAGCATTGCCTTCGAGGTTGAGGTAGAGTTCCACCAAAATCAGATGGGGAAGCTCGAACCCAGTAATGCATTTTCCTCTCTCTCTCTCTCTCTCTCTCTCTCTCACACACACACACAGAAAGATCGAAGACAAGTGCACTGTGGAAGAAGTTGAGATCGCGGGATTGGACTGTTGGACCGACGTCGTATTTAGAAGTAAGTGGAAATGTTATCGAGGGAAAATGACAGTTTGAACTTCGAAAGATTAAAATTTCTAAATTTACCCTTAAAGATTAATTATTTTAAATTATACCCTCACTGGAACTAATTGGTAGCGATATGACCTCAGTCATAACATTCGTTCTGATTTTTGTCAAATTGACAGGCATAGAATGCACATAAATTTAGATTTTTTAATCTTTCAGGTATGATTTTAAGGGCAAATAAAAACTTTCACCATAAAAGAATTTTATATTTTGGGTTAATCTCAAATTGCATTCGAAAAGATCATTCAAATTTTAATTTGTACCTTCAAATATCAAAAATTTTAATTACACCCGCAAAAATAAAAATTTGTAACAAAACGCATCTCAAACTAACAGCCGTCAAAAATTAAATGGATAAATTACACCAAGACTGTCTTATGCTTGTCATTTAATCACCAACACTCCTTACATTTAAAATATTATACCTACATCCCTTAAAAATTCAAATATGACTAAAAATATTCATTCAATTGAACATTTAAATAATTTTGTTTAAGAGATGTATTGCATTGGATATAAAGAACATTATATAAATATTTGCATTATATTGGACATTTAAAATGTAAACTTGATTTTGAACATTAGAGTATAACGGGGCCACGAAATATATGGTAGTATGAAATTATAATTTTTTATTATGATGAAATTATATTTTTTTAACGATTATATATATTAACAAATATCAACGACAACGAGTTATGTGTTACAAGTGCACAAACGTCAGGAGGTGTATGAGTAATTTTTTAAATGTGAGGAGGTCCAAATGATTAAGTGACAAGCATGAAGGGATCTAAGTATAATTTATCTATTTAGTTTTAGATGGCAAACTTGACAGCTATTAATTTCAAGTGTGCATTAATACAAATTTCTATCTTTAAAGGTGTAAATTGAGATTTTTTATTTTTGAAAGTGTAAATTAAATTTCAAATGATCTTTCAATGTGCAATTTGCAACTAACCCTTATATTTGTATTAGAAAATTTTAGTCACTCCCCTTCTAATTTATTTTTTCTTTAATGACACCCTCTAAATCTTCGTTGACACCCCCCTCTATCAGATTAAAGATCTTAACTAGAATACAATTTTACTAAATTTTCCATGATATATTTTAGGAAAACCTTCATTCACATCTCTTCTACATAGGCAATGAGACCCCTCTATTTTATGAATTGTTTTACGTATTAAAATTTGAGCTAATTAAAATTCATTTTTAATCGACACGAATCAAATTTTAATCAACTCGTATTGAATTTTAATATACCCGAATTTTGATACATAAAAAAATATAAATTTTAATTTACTCAAATTTTAATCAACTTGAATCGTATTTTAATTAGCGTGAATTTTAATAAATAAAAATATGCAAATTCTAATCAACTTGAATAAAATTTTAGTCGACACTAACAGTTCAAATTAAGCTCAAATCAGCTTGAATTTTAAAAATTAATATGTTCAAATTTTAATACGTAAAAAAAAACTTAACCTACTCGAATCGAATTTTAATCGACTCAAATTTTAATGGATAGAAAAATATATTTTAATCAACTCAAATTTTAATATGTAAAAAAAAAATTTTAATCCCCTCGAACTTTAATCAAATTTTATGTAGAAATATTGCTTGGAGTTTATGTAGGGCAATTTGGTATTTTAAATGATTTTTTTTGTTAGAAATGGTGGTTTAATAGCATAGGTGTCAATGATGTTTAAACATAAATTAGAAAGGGTATCAATAATGTTTNCTAAATTGCATTCGAAAAGATCATTCAAATTTTAATTTGTACTTTCAAATATCAAAAATTTTAATTACACCCGCAAAAATAAAAATTTGTAACAAAACGCATCTCAAACTAACAGCCGTCAAAAACTAAATGGATAAATTACACCAAGACGGTCTTATGCTTGTCATTTAATCACCAACACTCCTTACATTTAAAATATTATACCTACATCCCTTAAAAATTCAAATATGACTAAAAATATTCCTTCAATTGAACATTTAAATAATTTTGTTTAAGAGATGTATTGCATTGGATATAAAGAACATTATATAAATATTTGCATTATATTGGACATTTAAAATGTAAACTTGATTTTGAACATTAGAGTATAACGGGGCCACGAAATAGATGGTAGTATGAAATTATAATTTTTTATTATGATGAAATTATATTTTTTTAACGATTATATATATTAACAAATATCAACGACAATGAGTTATGTGTTACAAGTGCACAAACGTCAGGAGGTGTATGAGTAATATTTTAAATGTGAGGAGGTCCAAATGATTAAGTGACAAGCATGAAGGGATCTAAGTATAATTTATCTATTTAGTTTTAGATGGCAAACTTGACAGCTATTAATTTCAAGTGTGCATTAATACAAATTTCTATCTTTAAAGGTGTAAATTGAGATTTTTTATTTTTGAAAGTGTAAATTAAATTTCAAATGATCTTTCAATGTGCAATTTGCAACTAACCCTTATATTTGTATTAGAAAATTTTAGTCACTCCCCTTCTAATTTATTTTTTCTTTAATGACACCCTCTAAATCTTCGTTGACACCCCCCTCTATCAGATTAAAGATCTTAACTAGAATATAATTTTACTAAATTTTCCATGATATATTTTAGGAAAACCTTCATTCACATCTCTTCTACATAGGNCCTCTATCAGATTAAAGATCTTAACTAGAATATAATTTTACTAAATTTTCCATGATATATTTTAGGAAAACCTTCATTCACATCTCTTCTACATAGGCAATGAGACCCCTCTATTTTATGAATTGTTTTACGTATTAAAATTTGAGCTAATTAAAATTCATTTTTAATCGACACGAATCAAATTTTAATCAACTCGTATTGAATTTTAATATACCCGAATTTTGATACATAAAAAAATATAAATTTTAATTTACTCAAATTTTAATCAACTTGAATCGTATTTTAATTAGCGTGAATTTTAATAAATAAAAATATGCAAATTCTAATCAACTTGAATAAAATTTTAGTCGACACTAACAGTTCAAATTAAGCTCAAATCAGCTTGAATTTTAAAAATTAATATGTTCAAATTTTAATACGTAAAAAAA